TGCAATAAGATCACCCCAGAGCCTTCTCTTCTCCAGGCTGAACAGCCCCAACTCTCTCAGACTGCCTTCAGAGGAGAGGTGTTCCAGCCCTCGGATCATCTTCGTGGCCCTCCTCTGGACTCACTCCAGCAGACCCATGTCCTTCTTGTGTTGAAGACTCCAGAGCTGAATGCAGTATTCCAGGTGGGGTCTCACAAGAGCTGAGTAGAGGGGCAGGATCACCTCCCTCGACCTGCTGGCCACGCTTCTTTGGATGCAGCCCAGGATACGGTTGGCTTTCTGGGCTGCCAGCGCACATTGCCGGCTCATGTTGAGCTTCTCATTCACCAGCACTCCCAAGTCCTTTTCCTCAGGGCTGCTCTCAATCCATTCTCCGCTCAGCCTGTACTTGTGCTTGGGACTGCGCCGACCCATGTGCAGGACTTTGCACTTGGCCTTGTTCACCTTCATGAGCTGTTCACGCTGCATTTCCCTTTGGAGAGAACAAACTCCAGACGGTCTGCTGGAGCGAGAACAAGGACGTGTACCTTGCTGATGCTCATGGAACAAGGGCTCTGGAAACCAGGCACAGAACAAGCAAGACCATGATGTACGCACAAGCTCTGCAAATCAGGACAAGCTAAGCAAGGGTAAGTCAAAAGATTTTGAACTCAGGGCTCCAAGACAAGGGAAGAGGATGAGTTTTGACCCATATCATACTCAGAATCCACATATTTACAAAAGTGTGTAAGATACTATTCCAGTCAATTTCTCAAAAATATTTTATAAAAATACTGTTAAATAATCTAACTAATCAACTTCACATTGTTTAGTCAACACAAGATGATAAATAATGCTCTTTTATTTAGGGAAATACTTTCTTTTTTTAAAAAATATGGGTGGAAAATGTAACAATACTAAGAAATCAAGCAAACATGCACTGTTCTACCACTGAAAAACAAACAAACAAAAACCAACAATGCAGCTCTTCAACTGGAGCTGAACTTTCACCCTTCTGGTTTAAATCCAGGAATAGCAAACGCCTTTGGAGAAAAGTAAAAGTCCTCAATGAAATTACTGACACTACATGTCAGTTAAGACTATCTACAAATAGCTTCAGCCATGAAACCTCCGAAGAAAACTACTGCCGCAAGAATAAAATACAGATATTTAACAATGGTGAAATTTAAGAATTTTTGCTAAATTGAGCAAATATTGGTATCAGCTGAGATGACAGTGTTTTAAAGTGAGAAAGTATAATATAAAGTTATTAGTTAAGCATCTGCTTTTCTGCAAGTCCAATCAGATCGATGAAACAGCAGTGCTTTTTTAAGCAAAGAGAGCGAGCAAAACAAAATATGCAATGCCAAATAATACAGCAATAGGCAAACACTAGACTGCTGCATCTAAACCACGCTTAACAGAATAGCTTCAGAGATATCTGATGACAGGGGTTTCACCTCCAGAAAAAGCAAGTAGGGGATCCATAAATGGATCTCCACTAACTGATGTCTTAATATTAAATTCAGGAAGGTCATGCCTGTCAACACGAGCATTCAGAATAATTAATGAAAATCTGTTTAATTGCATATGGAGTCCGGATCGTTGAAGAACAACAAAATAATCAGAAGTACATCCAATGTAAAAACTGCTATAGTCATTTTTCATTGTTGATTAGGGTAGCTATCATGCACAGTGTCTAAATGTCCAAATAATAGCTCAGCTTTTCATCTTTAATATTTTTCACAACGTTCGTTCAGCTGAATTTCATTAACACTGGATCTTTGCAGCACAATTTTCTTCTCTCAATATACCTATCAGTCTGAGTATCTCCATAACCAACTACAAGTTATCATGCATAGAGAAAATTTAAAAGAACTGTTTAGTTGCTTCAGTTTTATTCTTCATCCATTCTGTTTTGTCACCATTCTAAAACTCTAAGAACGCAGGAGAGAATGCCCAAAATACTGAAAATTCCCACAAGAAATTGCACGTGCACTTTAATTTCTTTCAGAAAAGGCAGTCTTCCAGGTGCACTACCATTTTCTATATAATTATTCTAGTATTCAGAATGTATGTATCCTGTGTATTTGAGGAAGAAAATAAGAATGTTCCATAAGACTTCAATTTGCCAAATGAATAACATAAAATATGACACCAAAAGATTCTCCATATTGAAAAGACAAACAAAAAAAAAAAGAAACGTGGAAAAACAGCTTCCAGTCCTATGGAATACCACTAATTGTAATTTTACAGCATCTTAGTATGTGTTCTAAGACATACCAATCTGTATTGGCTAATGACCCACGGTTTTAAATAGATTATTCTTCAGTGGAAATGCACACTAAAGACACTGCAGAAGAAGCAATTTTTTCATTCAACATCAAATGGCCTTCTGTAAATAAAATTATTTTAAAACCAGAATTATTTTCTGCTATCACTATTTCTTGAAGCCATAGGCTTAAATTACACAAAAATGTTTCCACAAACTGTCTTTAGTACATACTAAAATAATAGTGTAAACTAATCCCTAAAACAAAGGCTTCCTGAAGGACTAAGATGTGAAAAAAGGCAAGCATTACCAATATCTGAGCTGCATAGGACATTAATACTTTGTAAACATATTTTCACGGTTATACAAGTCAAGTCCACGGGCAGTATATCTGAAATGCGGATTAAAAGCGTAATAAATGCAAAGACTCCCGTCTGGCTCTTTGCACGATCGGTTTAAGTTGGCTGGGTTGACTTGTTTAGGCTCAGCAGCTTTTCAATGTGCTGCACTGCTCTGAGAATAACCCTGGATCTCCCAACACCATGTTTCTGTAACCTCACACCCTGAGAACGCCTGCATCGCGTCACCCAAGTGCCTGTGCATACAGCCTGTCCCTGTTAATAAGCCAAATATTCCCACCCATTTCTTAACGCTTGGATGCCATACTGAGTGCAAGTTTACTTTGTATTTTCATACCGTGCTCTGCCCAAGCTAATAGACCCTCGACGTACAAACTCCACAGATGAGAGACACCTGAATGTTTTGGTTTTGGGTTTTTTTTTTTATAGAAGACAGCTTGGTTCTGGCTGAATTGTGCTGAATCCTGACTGACTCCATGTGGAGCCACTTCGTAATTCTCCTAAGACACCCAATTCCCCATATTTTCCAAGGTTTTCATTATCTAGGATACTCCTATTACTAAAGATAACGAACTTAATAAAATAACACAGGAAAATTTAGAAGCCAGCATACACTGCTTGTTTATTTGGTATCAAAACTTTACTTTGTAGTTTCAGTACACGGAAGGGAGAATGTTTTCCATTGCACTGCTAAAACAAAACTGCTTTTGCCCATATCTATACACAAAACCGGTGTTTTAATTTGTGTTTTAACAGTCTGAAAACAAAAATCCTTACCTCCTGCTTTTGAAAGCACATGTTTCATCCACACAACTGATGCTTTCTAACTTGTACGTGTGTGAACACTGAACCCTTTTGCTAGTCTAAAGCACCATGCACAAACGAGCGTTAACAGCCCTCCTCTTACTGTGTGTACGTTCATTGTAATTGCACTTTTTCTGGTCAAGTCAAAGCAGGTTAAAAATCTGTTTGCTCTAAGTGAATAAAAACTGAAGTCATTCCACTTAGCACAGATTACAATTGCTTAAATACTACTGCATGTAAAGAACATCTTTTAGAAATAAAAATCGAGCTATTGAAGTGAATGTGTCACACAATTTATATTCTTCCTGTTACTGAGACACTATTGACTATGACATAAGAAATTACATTATTAATTACTTCAAGACAGCGTCCACAACAAAAAAAGATTGTGGTCTGAATGCTATTGAGTAGCACAGGTGAAAACCATTTTCATTACTATGTAGGATTCTTTAGTTTTGAAACCAGAAATACCAAAGAAAAACAGAAGATTAGAGTACCAATTCCCGTTGATGATTATTTCAAAACCTCAAGAAAATGGTTGTAATTTCTCAAATGTTCCAACCTATTAAAAATATTCAGTCATATGAAAATAAGCATGATTTTGGAGGCTTGGAAATTTACTCAGGAAAGATTTGTTTGTATGAAGAGCCACAGTACCTCTTTGCAAGAGTACAAGGAAACATGACACCTAACATTTGGAGTTTTATTTCAATGTGAATAGCAAATATCTTCTATACCTCATCCAAGCTGCTGGGTGTAGAGGCAAGAGACCCTGTGTGACATGGCTTTTTCATACAAGACAAAGCAATAAAAGAATATCTGATGATACCAGATGCACATGTTTAGACAACTGAGTTTCACGCAGTTGAGACTGATCTACGACCAGTTACCATCAGAGAAAAAAGTGTTTTGCCATTCTGAACATGATAATGTATGGCGTTTCTCCTACTCAAAACTACCAACATGAGAATACTGGAGAAATCACACACAAGGATGCATTTCAAACCAGAAGTAACAACAATGAAGAGGTTCAACACATCAACCCAGCCAGGCTGTACTCTGTTATTAAAAAAAGACACCCTTACAATGAATGTAAGGGAATTCATGAGGGAAGATGAAACTACTGACTCTTTGGCTAACCAGAACTACAAGTTTGAACAAAGGATCACAGTACAAATTAAAAAAAAATATGAAATTTCTAATACTAGCCAGCTTCTGAAGGATCAACCAGAAGCTTTAATGTAGCTTTTATAAATGAATTTTTTAGCTTAACAAACTCTTCCTGTTATCTAAGATTACTGTAAGACCTTGGTGGCAAGTCTTAGCTGACAGACAGGCAAGGGTTATGGAGGAGAACAAAGTATGCACATTTAACAGTCAGTCTGCAGAACAAATGCTAAAAAGAAATTTGGTCACAGACTTCAGCAAACGTTGGGTACCAAGACAGCAAAAAAATTAATCTCTGCAGTCAGTTTTGTTGTTAGAATATGCTTTGTCCTTTGTACAAGCGAATTCACTTTCCTGAGAAAACACAAACCATCTACCCAATTTACTGGGTGTTCCTTTTTCATTTAAAATGAACTTACCGAGTGCCGTCTGCTTTCCAGCTAACTTTGTATGGCTTCTGCTCCAAAAATTTAATATTTTGCTTGTCCATGGAAACAGGTTGTGCTCCAGGGAATCCAGATCTTTAAAAAAACAAAAACAAAAAAACCCACACACGTTTATTAATGTTCTGCACTAAAAAGTCACAAAAAGCAATGCATTTTTCACATGAGACTGAAGTCACACCTTGTACCAGACTCACTGCAAGGTTAACTTCGAGTTAGAACATCTTCTCCAGTAAGGTATTTTGCAAGAGGAATCAAATGTCTATCTGATAACAAGGCTATTGGTTTATGACAAAACACTAAATTATGTAGAACTTCAAAGTTTTAACTTTGGAGGAAGAGATATTTGAATTCAAAATGACAAGCACTAGAAGAACTGTAAGCATCAGCAAGTTAGGAAGCATGGTGAGCAGCTCCCTGAATCATCAGCTTTGGAAAGAAGTTCAGAATCTGAAACATTAAAACCAACACTCTCATTAACATTGAGCAAAAATCCAAGTTGGCTATAAAAATGAGTATTGTACCTCAATACTAAAGCGTAATGGCAGTTGTATAAATAAGTCCACTGCTTGAGCAAGGACTAAATTTTACACAAATACCTGGACTAGACTACGTCTGGAATTTGCACAGCAACAATTAATCTGAAAACATTTTGTTATCTCAATGGAAAAGCAATTCTAGAATCATGCTTCTTAATATCAGCAGTTCATCATTCCGATTCATAGTACAATGTAAGATCCTCATCTGTTTCACTTTGGAGTAGTTTTGAGGCTTGCTTTTTTTTTTTTTAAATAATCCATCCAAAACATAGTCATCTTTTTCATTTTTACAATGAGCTCTTTCCTTCTGCAAGACTAGAAACATAACACATTTACAGATAGTATAAATAAAAAAGTTCTAAACATTCTCATACCCTTCCCATCCACAGAGCTGCTGACATTTTTGCTGTATCCCTCCTAACTTTGGTTGTGTTGTCACCTGGGTCACACATTTCACTGTTATTCCTTCCAGGAAAATTGCACCCTAAATAAAAATATAAAATATTAGTATTTAAGCCTTCATAAAAGCAGATCAGAACACGTCCATACAAGATTTAGTATGTTTTTACAATCTGACTCTCACGAGCAATACTAGCTTAAATATTCCTTAAAGATTTACCCCAAATACCAAGATTCATCAGCTGCGCTTTGCCAGTAAACGCACTGGTAGGCCATATTATGAACCCAGGAACCGAAATGAGTTATTTATGGGAGAAAAAAATAAAATAATCATTTTAAAAAAATTTCAAAAGGAGGTAAACGGTAAGGGATAGGCACTGTTTAGCTAGTACTCTCAAGAAAGTTCCCATGTCAAGCTACACCATCGGTCTGACTCATGATTTTTCATTTGTAACAAAAGTTTTTATTTAAAGTACACTATAATAGTAAATTAGTCACATATGGAATTTGCAGGGATCCAATTAAGCATCCTTAGTACACAAAACATTATATAATAATAAAGTAGCGTAAAGACATCTATTTGTGGGTGAGAATCTGAACCTAAACAGTATCGTAAGCCTGGAGCAAATCACTGTACATTACAGATCTCGAAACTCTTCCTGGCAAAAGCCTTCATGACACCACTTTTAAGTGCGTCAAAAAGTATGACCTCAAAATAAGTAAACTGGACAAAATTGACCTATGAAATGTTAAATAATTTTTTTTTAATACATAAATAGTATTTCCAGACCAACAACTCCATGCTTTCTTTGATTCACGGAACATAAGAGCCACTCACTAATAGTAGAGATCTAACGTGAAATAAACATAAGTAGCTTGGTAATTAGTCAAGTCACTGGGAAACATCTTCAGACATAAGTTTTTTGGTGGTGTTTTTAAAAAACGCCAAAAATCTCCACAGATGAAGACATTAAGTTCTACTTTTCTCCCTCCAAATCTTTGAGATGCATGTTTTCAACTAAATATGTTAATTTTCTCAGACCTAGATGCTAATTCCAGTACAAGAAGTTCAATGACATGGATTTCACCTCCTCCTGGGTGATCTC